CTTTCCACCTTCTCCACTGCGGTCCTGTCGATGTGGATTGGGGCGTGCTCTCTCTGCTGTTTCCTGAAGTCCACGATCAGCTCTTTCGTTTGGTTGACGTTGAGGGAGAGGTTATTTTCCTGGCACCACTCCGCCAGAGACCTCACCTCCTCCCTGTAGGCTGTCTCGTCGTTGTTGGTAATCAGGTGTACTACTGTTGTGTTGTCTGCAAACTTGATGATCGAGTTGGAGGCGTGCATGGCCATGCAGTCATGGGTGAACAGGGAGTACAGGAGGGAGCTGAGCACGCACCCTTGTGGGGCCCCTGTGTAGTGGATCAGCGAAGTGGAGGTGTTGTTTCCTACCTTCACCACCTGGGGGCGGCCCGTCAGGAAGTCCAGGACCCAATTGCACAGGGCGGGGTTCAGACCCAGGGCCCCAAGCTTAATGATGAGCTTGGAGGGGACTATGGTGTTAAAGGCTGAGCTATAGTCAGTGAACAGCATTCTTATGTAGGTGTTCCTCTTGTCCAGATGGGATATGGCAATGTGCAGTGCGATGGCGATTGCATAATCTGTGGATCTATTGGGGCGGTAAGCAAATTGAAGTGGGTCTAGGGTGTCAGGTAAGGTAGAGGTGAAATAATCCTTAACTAGCTTTTCAAAGCACTTCATGATGACAGAAGTGAGTGCTATGGGGCGATAGTCATTTAGTTCCGTTACCTTTACTTTCTTGGGTACAGGAACAATGGTGGACATCTTGAAGCAAGTGGGGAGAGCAGACGGATAGTGAGAGATTGAATATGTCCGTAAACACTCCAGCCATCTGGTATGCGCATGCTCTGAGAACGCGGCTAGGGATGCTGCGACGTGGCTGGTTTTCCCTTTGTAATCTGTGATTGTCTGTAGACCCTGCCACATACGTCTCGTGTCTGAGCCGTTGAATTGCGACTCCATTTTGTCTCTGTACTGACATTTTGCCTGTTTGATTGCCTTACGGAGGGAATAACTACACTGTTTGTATTCAACCATATTCCCAGTCACCTTGCCATAGTTAAATGCGGTGGTTTGCTCTTTCAGTTTTGCGCAAATGCTGCCATCTATCCACGGTTTCTGGTTTGGGTAGGTTTTAACAGTCACAGTGGGAACAACATCCCCTATACACTTCCATGTATACGTCAATGTTTTTCTCAGAGGCTACCCGGAACATATCCCAGTCTGCGTGATCAAAACAGTTTTGAAGCATGGATTCCGATTGGTCAGACCAGCGTTGAATAGACCTTAGCACAGGTACTTCCTGTTTGAGTTTCTGCCTATAGGAAGGGAGGAGCAAAATGGAGTCATGATCTGATTTGCCAAAGGGAGGGCAGGGGAGGGCCTTGTTGGCATCTCGAAAGGGGGAGTAGCAGTGGTCAATTGTTTTTCCAGAGTGAGTACTACAATCAATGTGTTGATAAAACTTCGGTAGTGTTTTCCTCAAATTTGCTTTGTTAAAATCCCCAGCTCTAGATTCTTGGTGGTTCCAAACTTCTTCCATTTAAGAATGATGGAGGGCTCTGTGTTCTTGGGGACCTTCAATTTTGGTACCCTTCCAGATCTGTGCCTCAACACAACCCTGTCTCAGAGCTCTACAGACAATTCCTTTGACCTCATGGCATGATTTTTGCTCTGACATCCACTGTCAACTGTGGGACCTTATATAGACAGGTATGTGCCTGTCCAAATCATGTCCAATCAATTGAATTTACCACAGGTGGACTCCAATCACGTTGTAGAAACATCTCAAGGATGATCAATGGAAACCGTCGAACTGCATGCCGTCAAATCAAAGGCACTCCTTCGATATAAAGTTGTTATTGAGTTTGTCAATTTCACGAGGTTGGATTAATAACATGTTGAACTACTTAAGACATTGGCTCGAATCTAGGTTGAGCCTTTAGATTTTGAGAAAATTAACAACTAAGGAAACATTTTTCACTTCTCTCATTGACTTCTCATACCCCAAACCTCGGCCTGGTCTGCTTGGTCTGTTTCACAAGTGTTCCCGGAAGTCTCGAGATATTGCGCCTCTGGGTTTAGAAACTCTGTGATTTCACCTATCAGCTGGACTATTAAGCCTTGTTCACATTGGCAATTTGAAGTGATTCAAATCCAATCTTTTTGCCTATCCAATTCGAAATTGTTATATTTCCTGCAGTCTGAACATCCAACAGGCACATGGAATCTGATATTTTAAACCACATTTCAAACCACTTTAGGTGATTTAGACTTATTTGGCATATCTTGTTGCTTGCTAGCTACTTTGTTGACAGTTTGACAAGAACATCCCTTACAAAAAAATATTGCAGTTTTGAAACTGCAGTCGACTGTGGTATTTTGGACAGAGTAATTGCAGAATAACTGCAGTGTACCGCACTCAAACTGCAGTTATACTGCAAAATTACTGCAGTAAAACAACCTGTTATTTTGGACAGTATTTGCAGCATACTAGTGTACTGCAGTTATATTGCACTCTGACTATATCATTTTTCATAAGGGATGTGGTAGCGAACTAGCTTGTTAATTGTTTACAAACAAATTAGTGTATGTGCTAAAAAGCTAAATAGCTACCTAGCTAGCTAGTTGACTGCTGTGGCTAGCTAAAAAGGATGTGTTTTGAAAGTTGGATCACCTTATCCTTCTAGGCTTTAAAAATGTTCTTAAACTATGATTTTGAAAATTCAAAGCAACTGGGAAACGTCCATAGCAACTGGGAAACATTCATGGCAGGCATTGTCACCTTAGCTTGCTACATTACTTCTGATTGATAGAAGCAAGAGCACTACCACCAATCAGCATACACCACTGCACACATACCCTTCGTTACTATGACAATGTGTAGGGTGGCAGGTAGCGTGGCAGGTAGCGTAGTGGTTACAGCCAATAACCAAAAGGTTGCTGGTTTTGAATCCCTGAGCCAACAAATTGAAAAATATGTCGATGTGCCCTTGAGCAAGGCACTTAACCCTAATTTGCTCCAGGGGCTGCGTACTACCATGATTGACCCTGTAAAACAACACATTTCACTGCACCTATCCGGTGTATGTGACAATAAAAACATGTATTGTCATTATAAACCAATGCCTAGGCTGCGTGATCCCTCTACTGTAAATCCATGTAAATTCCATGTGCCATCTGGCTTCGCTGGTGCTCCAGTGTAATGGGCTTCTGATTGGTGGAGAGCAGATCTTGGTAATCACCGATGTCGGTCAGATTAAATTGCAGGCAATTGTCATACTTTAGCATTTCCTTTCACGAGATAGAGGATTTAGTCATTCAACTAAGTGCTGCCCTGAAACACAGATATGATCATTGACATTTAAAATGTGAGTACAGTATTGCACACAGTAGCCTTGGCAGAAACTGCTACATAGATTGTGTTGTGCAATATACAGTATTACTAGCATGGATGAAATGCCGGTTGAATTTAGCATTTTCCTGGAAAGATTAAGCGTACGGAACCAAACAAATCCCTAACAAAAAGTAACGCCATTTCTTTGCTGACATCAGGTAAAAAGGATGGACACACCGCTCAGTCAGGTGATGAATACCAATGTTTTCAAATGTTTATTGAACACGTGTTTTCCACAAAGATCAAAACACAATGTAAAGAAAAAGGCAGAAAGAGAAGCACGCATCCACCACTGTTCACAAAACTAGCCATTTGTTCCCTCCACCTTCCCGATGAGGCATCGCTCTCCTTAAAAATGGGACAGTCTACTCCAAAACCAACATTTATCAGATGTTTTCAGAACTCCAAAGTGGACTTTTTTTGAGATCAGTCTTATTTTATCTTGAGACTACTTTTAAGGTCTGCAATCATCTGACAAACTTTGGTTTTGGGGTGTATTGTCCCTTTAACCAGCAGCATCAGGTCATTTTGAACTGCAACACAATTCACTAGCTTTACTAAGCTAAACGCCGCAAGGTCACAAAGGCGGCGGCGGCGGATAATGAACGTGGCACACACAGGTGGCGGATGGAGATCCAATGCTAAATAAGGGGATGAAGAGATCAAAGTGCTACAAAATGTCCCCATCAAACTCTTAAGACTGAATAGAATCTTGATTATTTTAACAAGCAAAAAACACAGAATTCAACGATAAGATAAGAGATCATAAGTGGATTGTCTTAAGAATTTATTTTTTTATTTTTATAGTCACGCATTATAATTTCAATCTATAAGGAAAAGGATGGTGTTTATTCTAAAGCTGAACTAACTGGTGATAGGCATTCAAGCAATGGTACTTTCACTTTTTACTAAAACATCAAAAGAGAGGGGGGGGGGGGGGGGGGGGGGGGTTGGAAAGCTTTCATCACTTTATACATTACACGTCATCCTATGGCAGACTACTTTATCTACCCCTCCACTCTCCTTTCACTTATCTACAATATTATGGGGTCTGGGTTTGAATGTTACAGGGCCTTTAAAGTTCCAATGCAGCCGTTTTTATCTCAATATGAAATCATTTCTGGGTAACAATTAAGCACCTTACTGTGATTGACCGTTTTAATTGAAAACAAAAACAGCTTCTTAGCAAAGAGCAATTTCTCAAGCAAGAATTTTGCTAGGACTGTCAGGGTAGTCCGAGTTGAGAACTGAAAATTAGCCTCTATTGGCAAAGAGGTTTGGGACTCTTTTCTTATTGGTCTATTAACTAATTTACTACATGGTGATGTCACCATGGAAGGCCAAAACAGGCTGAAATTTCAGGCGGTCTTTTCAAACAGCTCTTACAATAAAAGGGCTAAATATTGCACAATTTAAACACTTGCCCCCCAATCCCGCATTCCACAAAAAACTAATGTAAATATTGGACTTTAAATTGTCCCTTCCTGTATTATACTCATGCTAAAATGTTTATTCTACTGAGCCATTTATACTTTGTTAGTATTCTCATCTTTTATTATTTCTTATTGTTGTTGCATTCTCGAGAAGGAACCTGCAAGTAAGCATTTCGTGTCTCCCATGTGTATCGCGTACATACAACTTGAAACTTGAAGGGCATTATCATCATTTTCACAATATTATTCCAACCTCAGTGTGGAAATGTATATACAAACAGGAAAATCACGTTTTTGACTGCACTGGGCCTTTAAAAAAAGTATCCCTCTCTAGAAATGCATGGCAGGATCAAAATGGCGAGCTGTGGATCGCCACACACACAGAGAGGAGGGGGGTCTTCAGGCAGGCATGTAGGGGGGAGGGGGCTCTTTCTCTGGCATCTTCATTGCCATCTCGTAGGTGGGTAGGATGTACTGAGGAGAGAGGGAGAATAAATTAATCATTACATTCATTTAATTAATCAATGAATCCATTTATAAATATAGTCTACTGCGCAGTGTGAGAGGACCAAAGAGATGGACATGAATCATATTTGAGACATTTGATAGTGCTATAATTCATCTGTCTCTTAAACAATTTGGGAAGGAGACTACACTGGGTGTACTGTATCAGTAACACTTGTAACCACTTCGCTGTCTTGAACTGACTAAAGCCTGTCGCATGCTTCTCAGTGAAAACAGTTTGCGCATTCATTATGACGACATTGTGACGTTTTTCAGTGTTTTCCACTAGTGCCGCTTGTCGGCTATACAGCAGATGAGACTAATTTTCAGCCGGCTACATTTTCCACATAAATTAACTAGGCTACTTTTCAATTCACTAGTCAGAAAAAAAGACTGTCGAGCCCTCTCCCCTAGAATGAACAATACGCACTTTCTAGCTATCTACTGATAGTACAGGCGCCTGTTCAGTCACAAAGTGAGCGATGACAGAGAAACACTGCTGGTTTGACAGTCTTCCATGTGTCCTGCCTCTCGGTAACTTTGGGTGTGTGATGTGTGGATGTGGTTCCAGTCAAATTTCTTTACACGGAGGGAGAGAGCATGAATTCACACATCCCATATAATGTGGTAAAGATGAGTCGAAATCAAGCCCATTGTTTTCAGACAATATGTGTCGGGCCAGTGGATCTCGTCAGTCACAGGCCCGACAGGGACAGTAACTTTTCAGCGCATTTTTGCATTCCAGTTCAACATTTACCTGCTTGGTCGCAGTCTACCATTTAAGACTACGTAAAATGTCATGCTATTTGTATTTGAGCAATATGATTGGCCGCTCATTCAAGCACCACCACGCTCTCACGAGTCACAACATCTCAAGCAGTTGCATTAGTCTCGGCTAACCTACTGTAGCCATGTCGATTGCCCTTTAGGAACGTTTGTCTTAAAGGGGCAGAGTCCTATTTTGAAATCTTCACAAAATGACATACTTCAGAAACAAAAACAGATGCCATTAATACAATGCCGTTTTTAAAAGAATAGAGTAATGACTTGCATTGCTAAATTATATTACCCAGGTTTTTAATACATATCATAATAACCATCTGTAGCCTATTAATAGCTGAATATAGAGAGAAAGCATGCCAACCTATAGGCCCTGCATGAACCCAATGCATTTAAGAACTACACCATGTCCGGGCCAGTAGAAATTATGTTTGGGCCAGTAGATCTTTGGCCAACTGGCCTGACTGGGCCGACTGGGGAAAGTGAATGTTGGACTCTACCTAGTTTCATATGCAGCCACGGAGTGGTGGCGCATAGGCCATTTACGGTGCTTTGATTGACGAAAAGCAAGCTTGACTAGTCTATAAAAGGTGTCGAACTGACTCAATAAAGTCAACCTCATATCCTTCATAAATCATAAAACGTAGATATACACCGAGTGCGCAAAACATTAAGAACACCTTCCTAATATTGAGTTGCACCCCCTTTTGCCCTCAGAACAGCCTCAATTCGTCGGGGCATGGACTCTACAAGGTGTCGAATGACCCATGTTGACTCCAATGTTTCCCATAGTTGTGTCAAGTCGGCCAAATGTCCTTTGGGTGGTGGACCATTCTTGATACACACAGGAAATTGTTAAGCGTTAAAAACCCAAGAGCGTTGCAGTTCTTGACACACTCAAACTGGTGCGCCTGGCACCTACTACCATACCCCGTTAAATCTTCCGTCTTGCCCATTCAGCCTCTGAATGGCACACATACACAATCCATGTCAAAATTGTCTCAAGGCTTAAAAATCCTTCTTTAACCTGTCTCCTCCCCTTCATCTACACTGATTGAAGTGGATTTATAACAGGTGACATCAATACGGGATCATAGCTTTCACCTGGATTCACCTGGTCAATCTGTCAAGGAAAGAGTTCCTAATGTTTTGTACACAGTGCATGTCCATGGTATCACATCGGGACAAGTAAAGATCTCGTTTGTATTTTCGATATGAAGTCCATCAGGACTTGCCAGACAGTGACGTTAAAGTGAGTGACTCGTCAGTAGCCTACCGAATTTCATCGGTAAGAGAGCAGTTCATTTGGCTCCCTAATTTGCATACTGGTAGGCCTTTTTGCGATTATCTGCAGATTAATTTTGAAAACATTCGATGAAGATGGTGAATCCACTTCACTGCAGGAACAATAGATAGGCTAGTGGAGAGAGCCTCACTCTGTTCCAAAAATGATCAAATAATACAGATTTAATTTAAAGAAAAAGCTAAATGATACTTACAGTACCAGTCAAAGGTTTGGACACACCTACTCATTCAAGGGTTTTTCTTTATTTTAACTATTTTCCACTTTGTAGAATAATAGTTAAGACATCAAAAACATGAAATAACACATGGAATCATGTAATAACCAAGAAAGTGTTAAATCAAAACATATATTTTATATTTGAGATTCTTCAAAGTAGCCACCCTTTGCCTTGATGACAGCTTTGCACACTCTTAGCATTCTCTTAACCAGCTTCACCTGGAACGCTTTTCCAACAGTCTTGAAGGAGTTTCCACATATGCTGAGCACTTGTTGGCTGCTTTTCCTTCACTCTGAGGTCCAACTCATCCCAAACCATCTCAAATTGGGTTGAGGTCGGGGGATTGTGGAGGCCAGGTCATCTGATTCAGCACTCCATCACTCTCCTTCTTGGTCAAATAGCCCTTACACAGCCTGGAGGTGTGTTGGGTCATTGTCCTGTTGAAAAATAAATAATTGTCCCACTAAGCCCAAACCAGATGGGATGGCATATCGTTGCAGAATGCTGTGGTAGCCATGCTGGTTAATTGTGCCTTGAATTCTAAATAAATCACAGACAGTGTCAACAGCAAAGCACCCCCAAACCTCCTCCTCCATGCTTCACGGTGGGAACTACACACGCGGAGATCATCCGTTCACCTACACTGCGTCTCACAAAGACACAGCAGTTGGAACCAGAAATCTCAAATTTGGACTCCAGACCAAAGGACAGATTTCCACCGGTCTAAAATCCATTGCTCGTGTCTCTTCTTATTGGTGTCCTTTAGTAGTGGTTTCTTTGCAGCAATTTGACCATGAAGGCCTGATTCACACAGTCGCCTCTGAATAGTTGATGTTGAGATGTGTCTGTTACTTGAACTCTGTGAAGCAATTATTTGAGCTACAATTTCTGAGGCTGGTAACTCTAATGAACTCTGGGTCTTCCATTCCTGTGGTGGTCCTCATGAGAGCCAGTTTCATCATAGCACTTTGCGACTGCACTTGAAGAAACTTTCAAAGTTCTTGAAATGTTCCAGATTGACTGACCTTCATGTCTTAAAGTGATGGACTGTTGTTTCTCTTTGATTATTTGAGCTGTTCTTGCCATAATATGGACTTCGTCTTTTACCAAATAGAGCTATCTTGTCACAACACAACTGATGCATTAAGGAAAGAAATTCCACAAATTAACTTTTAACAAGGCACACTTGTTAATTGAAATGTATTCCAGGTGACTACCAAAGCTGTCATCAAGGCAAAGGGTGGCTACTTTTAAGAGTCTCAAATATAAAATATATTTTCATTTGTTTAACACTTTTTTGGGTTACTACATGATTCCATGTGTTATTTCATAGTTTTGACATCTTCACTATTATTCTACAATGTAAATAATTGTAAAAATAAAGAAAAACCCTGGAATGAGCAGGCGTGTCCAAACCTTTGACTGGTACTGTATATATTTTCAAAGATATTGATATAGGTCTATTGATTTAATAAAACTATTGACAATGGAGTTGTCAACTGCTGCTTTCTGTGTAGCAAAGCCAATGTTTGACACCTGCTTCATTCTTCAATCATACCCGTATTGCAGATAGATGACAAAATACCTCTTAAATGGAAGCTTGAAGCCTGTGGAAGTCAGCATTTTTTCACATTTACATTTTAGTAATTTAGCAGACGCTCTTATCCAGAGCGAGTGCAAACATTTTCATACTGGCCCCCCGTGGGAATCGAACCCACAACCCTGGCGTTGCAAGCGCCATGCTCTACCAACTGAGCTACACGGGGCTACAGGATTCTTTAAAATGTCCAGTGCAGTCAAAATTAAATGTTTCCTGTGTTTTATATCATATTGTACAACAGCTGATAAAACTAACACTGTAATAGTGTGATTTTTTTTTAAATCAGTGTTATTTCCTGATAGTTACTGGTTGAAAATACAATTAAGCATTAGAATGTACCAGAGGCCACCAAAAATGTCTTAACCCGGGGGAGCCTGGCTGGAAACTTTTTTTATTATTAGGCTGGCAATATATGCTAAATGACTTAAATGTAAATGTTTGTGCTTGTGGAAAACTTTTTTTGTTTGTTTTGGTGTTCGGCAGGGTTTTTCGTCGGCTGTTCGAGCACACAACATTTTTTCTTGAGGCAAGTCCAAGTTTGGTACCTTCGTCGGTGAATGGTACTACTCCTAGTGGAAGACTGAACTATGGACAGGATTCTTCAATTAAGTGTTTGTTTCATGCACATTGCTTCGCTTGAAATACTGCCCCAAACATCTTCGTTAGATGTAAAATTGCGCAACTTCCTCGGAAAAAACATCAAAATTAGTTACAGATTTCTTGATTTATCTTAGATTAATTCAGACTATTTTGATGAAGTGTTTCTGGCTATGTTGTTGCTATGGTGGCTCAAGAGGGATAAACAACAGTAATATTGGCGTAATATTTTCTCATTCTTCAAGCGAAAGTCTTTAGGGAGTATTCGAGCACAGACGTTTGCGCCGCCTAGCCGAGTTCTGCTAGGATCAAACCAAAACTGTTTGCGGACACTTTAAAAGATGTGACAGGTATGCTTCAGATTTGATTACCAGTAATACGAGAGGGGGCTTTTCAGGGGGCTTTTCAGGCACAAACATACCTGGGGAGGCGCCGTGAAGGCGGGGTAGATGGCGATGTCCGGCACGTTCCTGTTGTTGATGTACTTGTAGCAATTCCACACGCAGTTGATCAGGTAAGCCTGGGGTGAAAGTGGTCAAAATGTTTAGTCCTTCTACCTGAGCCAGTGATGCTCAATCCTGGTCCTAGAGAGCCACAGTGTGTGCAGGCTTTTGTTATACGCAGCTCAAACACCCTTGATTCAGCATCTGAAGGCCTATCACACATCTATTAAAGACCTGTCAGTCAAGGTCTATCATCAGTCTACTAAAGTACTTTCACGGATTGGTAAATCAGATCAAATCTCACATGAACACTAACAGGTGCAGTAAATCAAATAAATTGCATATTCTTGGGAATCTGGGTGGGTGGGGGGGGGATGGAGTGCAGCATTCAATCACAGCCTATTTCCCAGAGACCTTCATGATGATGAGGAAGGTGAAGAACACGAGGACGAAGAGCAGCAGGCAGCTGGAGTCCATGGAGAGCAGGTTGTCCTTGTAGGGGAAGTCTGGCTGAGAGAAGAGGAGAGACATTCAGCACATACAGAAGCTAAACAAAACTCCATAAAACCAGTACTGAAATATGGGCCTACAGACCATCTTTAGCTTCAGTTCCATTGAACATCCCAGTCCTTTTTAATTTCTCATTCAGATGTCAAATCCATATGATGTAATGGCGGCAGGTCTAATGTAAAGACAGTAGAGGCAGGCCAGGTGACAACGACAGTGAGAACACATTTAAACCCTCTAGGGGGGTATGTTACAGAGCAGGGTCAATGAGTTAGCCAGCTAACTTTCCCAAGTATTCTGAAATTACTTCGGTTTTCTCTGAATATAAACTCGAAATTCGAACCAGCAACCCATATAAATGTTTTGCTTTAATCAACTGTGAGAAGGAAGCTAATTCACCATTAATATTCTGTATATTTAGTGTTCACTCAAATATTGTTTTAAGCTATGTTTTACTATTGGCAGTTACAGCTGATTTCGGGACTGTATATAGATTTTCACTCCTTAAATATAAGTAATTTGATTTATTCATTTCAGTCTCAATTGTTTAATCAATTTTTCGCCACCATCTCCTGATATCAGGGCATAAAAACTACAATCTGTCTCCTGAATTAGCCTAGTGGGCATGTGCGCCCAGCTGGCTGGCGCACATGCGCACAAGGCCCGAGCTCGTTTTCCCTGGCTAAACTAGCTGAACTATGCTAGTTTTCGTCCTCATTGCCAAATTTCATGAATACTGCACTCTCAACTTCAAAACTCCTTTGCTAGTTATACAATCAAGTAAGTAAGACAAACTCTGGAAAGAACATGAAACTGATGTATTGTTTTGTTGAATAGTCATGACTGGTTTGAGATATCTGTCGTAAGATGACAGTGGCGAAGGATATCATTGCTACTTAATGCGGATCCAAGTTCAGTTTTGAGATCCAACGGCGTCATTAGTGTAAGGTTAGCTGGACATATCTGACTGGTCTTGAAACTGTGACAACAGGCAGCCTCTTCCCGCTTGGCTCGATGGGATGTACTGATTTTGCCAACACAGCCAGATATGTACACGATCTTGTATCCTTAACCTTTTTTCAACTGACTATCGTATTTGTTGATTAAATATGGCTTTATTAATATAATGAGTAATCCAGGAATGTCACGAGTTAATTGACACGAGAAAACAGCAACTCTAGAGATCGCAATGACTACAATGAATGGCTAAATTACTTCCGGACACTAACAGCCCTGCTACACTACAGCCGTCAGACATCAGGCTTTGATGGAATGCTTCCTTTGAAATTAATAAAAGCTGCTATACTGCTCGCGTTGCGTCACATCCAACGGCAGCTTCCAAGCTCCAGAATCACTGAGGTTCCAATTTTGACTGCTGACGCACGTTCATTCTATCTTGTGAATTGAAATAAAGTAGATTTTGGTTGCATAACGGCCCCCACTAGACACCACTGGCTATTTTACTAAGATTTATGATGTCAAGAAGCTACTAGTTAGTCAATGTAGCTAGCTAGAGTTTCTGCTATGTTCACAATGTAAACAAAAGCAACATGTGTAATTAGAGGATATTTAATACAACCACTAGAAACAATTTAAGAGTACTTGCGGAAAACTGGACCAAAGCCATTGTACTTACATATAATAGATAAATATGTTACAGTACAGTACATTTTTTTATAAAGATGCTCTTCCACTCTGCTCATTCACTCTCAAAACAATGTGCTCTGTGTAGCAGGTAGAACGTCACATTGACAACGCTGATGGTAAAGCAACGCATCGCTTATAGTGGAGCTTAAGTGTAAGGGTCCGCGGAGCTCCTCCTCACCACTTGATTGTGCTTTAACCAGGAAACTGGATGTTTATTTAAGTTAACTGGTTTATAGCAGATTTTTGTTGTTGTATCACAATAAAGTCCGCTGGTTATCATATAATATAAATTGTTCCCGTTATTAATTGTTAAGAATAAAACATTCACAACAAAACTTCTGGTTAACTTCATAATCCTGATTTGTGAGACTAGCTGACAGGCAGTGGTGGTGGACTAGACTGACTCACCAGCTCCTTTATGTAGTCCTTTATCCTGGGCAGGTAGGTGAGTGAGCTGATGGCTACCAGGCAACTCAGAGCAAAGTCAAAGAGCTGGTAGCAAAAGAACGGGATAAGCCAGCCGTCACGATGCTACGGGGGGAGGAAGGGAAAACCACACACATTACTAAACAAATGTGTGAAAGGGATGGCCATTTCACTAGAGTTCGTCAGGTGGTTTGTCAAGCAAGGGGCATATGTAGCCCTAGCAAAAGCCTAATCTAAATGTTGGGTACTAAGCAATGTTGAGGATGTCACAAAATCAAAAAGGTTTCTATGTACAGTGCCTTCAGAAAGTATTCACACCCCTTGACTTATTCCACATTTATTGTGTTAAAGCCTGAATTAAAAATGGGTTAAATAGATTTTTTGGTATTGTTACAGGTTTTGGTTTTCCCATTTATGTTTTGAGGTTGGACTTTTAACACGTTAGCACATAGGGCGCACCGATTGGTGTCACCTCGTTAGTCCGAAGGTGTTTCCCCTGTGCTGGCCCAGTGATCCAGTTGCCTTGAGAGATGTGGAGGGTCAACACCTTTAGTTGGCTATCCCCATTTGATTTCTAGAAAAACATTCCTTTGTCTGATCTTCCCTGTTTTTCATTTTGCTAAACTTTTTGGTCCACTTCCTGTCTTTAAGTTTGGTGTGGATTTTTCTTTTGTTTGCCTCTTAGTTGGCAAATTTAGTGGGCGTCTTTTAGGTCCCAGTTGTTGTTGCTATGCAACTTTCAGTGGACACCCTCATGAGTGTCTATTAGAACCACTCCTGGTTGTTGTCCGTGACTATTTGTTAGTTCCCCCTTCTATTTGAGCAACATTTTGTTTTCTTGCTGGGGAACGTAACAGTATTCAGGACATAATGTTAATTTCTTTGCCATATTTTATTCAGTATTACTTTAGTACCTTACAAACATGATGCATGTTTTGGAATATTTTGTATCCTGTACAGGCTTCCTTCTTTTCACTCTGTCACTTCGGTTAATAATGTGGACTAACTACAATGTTGTTGATCCATCCAAAGTCTAATTAATAGCTTCACCATGCTCAAAGGGATATTCAATGTCTGCTTTTTTAATTTATTTACACATTTACCAATAGGTGCTTCTTTGCAAGGCATTGGAAAACGTCCCAGGTCTGTGGTTGAACCTGTCTTTGAAATTAACTACTCAACTGAGGGACCTTACAGAGATGAGGTAGTCATTCAAAAATCATGTTAAACACCATTATTGCACACAGAATGAATCCATGCAACTTATGTGACTTGTTAAAACATTTCTGAAAACATGATTCCACTTTGACATTATGGGTATTGTGTGTAGGCCAGTGACACACAATCTCAATTTAATCCTTTTTAAAATTCAGGCTATAACACAATAAAATGTGGAAAAAGTAAAAGGGGTGTGAATTCTTTCTGAAGGCACTGCACGTCTGTGCTTAGGTCATCATGACTGGGTATTTAGCAGGGGAGGCTACCGACAGCAATGGAACTACTCTGTCACAGTGAACACTGAATACAGGGCATCAACAAGGGTAACCTAATAGCTTGTAGTCACAGCTAAGGCATAATGCTCGTCGCTCACACTTAAAAAGACTGCTTACGCAGAACCTCGACGAGACGTCATGCGTTAGCTGTGAATCGCCATTTAAACTAGCAGATCTAGTCGGGTCCACGTCACATAGCCATCAAACCTGTCAGTGTGGATGCCCATCAGACAGAACCTGGTGAGGTAAACACGATATCGTTAGAGCAACGTTGTGTAGCAAACATTCTGCTTGCCCTGGTGGGGCCAGTTGAATGCACAAGCAAGGAGTTTGCATGCAGTGAGTCTGTTATTGGTCAATGTCCATTGCTGAAAAAGCATTAAATACATTAGAAATGGTCCTTTCAGACACCAGGACCTAACAAGGGACTGCCACCCGAGTTGTGTTCATTAGGGCACATATCGTTTTAAAACATTTTGCAACGGAAAACTCAAAATGAGTGTTTCTTATTAGACAACTCCAGGCAGTTCCTCCCTGTTTCAGTCCGCTTTCTTTCATAATGGTTGAGGTTCAATGATAACAATATATTTTCAACCTCCTATTTTACCCACTCCTCCAGGGGTATTTGTCGTCAGCCTGCTTTTACACGTTAATTTAATTTGTATTCAAGGTTTAGAATAGCCGCGACCAAAAGTAGGAAAGCAAGGCTTTCATGCATGTGTATTTAGGAGCACACATTTGCATAACAAACCAAGAGAGTAGTCAGGATGAAAGATTATGCAGGGGGGTTATTTTCCCACCCCTGAGCAAATATGTTGAGGAGTGACTCAAGAATGTGTAATTGTCGTAAATTCCATTGTGGACAGGATGTGGATGAAAACACGCTAACACAGACAAACAAATCAGAAGGATAGACACTTACAGTAATGGCTCCATAGACCATCATGGCGCTGATAGTGAGCATCAGCAGAGAGATGGCGAATCCCACACAGGCATTCTCTATAAGCACACAGATAGACAAAGACATTCAATAGGGTAAAATACTTTTGTATTGAAGTACAAACCCAAAAACTTGGTCTAAGTCTTGGAAAATAATGTCAGTCAGAGGCTTTTGGGAGAAAAATCTAATCTCAAAAACATGAGCCCAAATGTTGAATTATCTTTAATTTAATAGTGTTATTCTGCATCAGTTGTTTCGGGCCAACATGACCGCCCGGTCTGAGCCACTTGCATCCCACGGTAGGGCCACACAGAGTGCATTCATATAACTGTCGAGTGAGAGCACTACTACTGAGGCCTAATTGATTTGTGTGTAACTGGAGCATCTCCGGGGCTGCGTGGTTGCCTTTCAACTCGCTCTCTTTTAGCATTAGCTTGCTTTGGGGAGCCCTTAGTTTCTCCCGCTCAGGCACTCGGTAATCAGTGAAGACGACAACGCAAGCTACGCTAGGCTAATGAATAGGCCTGCCGTCTGCTTCTGACCGCTCATGGCCTCGTGCTAGGCTGGGGAATGATTAAGTGATTGAGGAGAGGCATGTGTGGTTCAGTCCCAAGGCTCTCCCGCTTTATTATTCAGACAGTCACTCTTAAGCTGTGCAGGAAGCCGTTGATTTCTCAGGTATTCGAAGAGGGCCCTCTTCTTCCACACCTTCTACTTTGATATCACTAAAATATCAGAATGTAGGTCACAGCGGTTTAGTCCCTCATGAGGTTCAGTCCCTCATATTTTGTCTGTAAACAATATACTTTTATTTTGTGGACTTTATTTAGACAGTAGGTGGGAAACATTGAAAGGGATGGACAGCATTGAAAGTGTTGGACCGGGGATTTTGAACCACTACTGCAGGGTGAAATCGGATGAGTAGACGCCAAACTCTGGCTCACAATCTCCTTCTTAAACATGGTAACTAAGTGGGAAGAGGCCGACTAGAACTGGCACTGATGGAGCCACAGCAGTGCCAGGCTTTGATAACAGCCCAATCAGTCCGCTGAATGCTGACATTGTATCAAAGCTAGGATTTACATAGCGCACCAACCCCCCTTCCCTGTGACCGAGCCAACTAAACACCAAAACAGCCAGCCAACCACAGAGTGCACAGCACTGGGCCCGGTTTCCCGATAGCGATAGAATTTAGGCTTAGGAGTGTTTTAACAATGCATCTCTCCTACATTGGCCGAAGATGCGTTTCCCAAAACGCCACGCAGAACGGTCGTTAAGTGCATCGTTGAAGCATGTGTCGATACTGATAGGATCGAAAGAAAGGGCGCACTGCTCTCGGATCAGCTTTGTCCATTCAAATCGTACCTTAAAATGAGAATTATTTCACAATACTGACAACGGATCAGCTCCTACGGCTGCAAATATTGAGGCGACTTATTCTAATGCTTACCCAATACAAATGCACTAAATCACCGATTTGGCACATCATTGTGCACATGTTAGGTTACACATCATGAAATATATTGAGACAAATTACAAACAGAAGTCTAAAAGTATCAAAATAGAACTTAATTTATTTAACATTAAATGTATTTCAATAATTGAAATAGGCCTATAGCCTACTGTTTATATTGTAATGCCATCATCTCTGTTTTCATTTAAAGCATCCATTTATATGTAGCTTGTTTGTGTCAACTGCAAAGACATTGGCAACTTCGTATTTGTAGTAAACTTTGTTCTGAAGTAATCAGCGTTCACAGAGAGACTGATAAACCATGTGATTCTATGTTTAGCAGAGATCTGTGTATAAAGCGACGCGGGAGGGCAAAAAAATAATAATCTAGCAACGCACTTAGCTGTTCTACGAGTAGTCTAAGGCAGGCGTTAGACTACGAGCGTTTTCAAGTGCACCGTTAATAACTAAGGTTTTGAGAAACAGCTCTGTGATTTAAAGATGCTCCTACAAAGGTTATAAATGATGAACTTAGCCTTAAGATGCTTTTGGGTAACCGGGCCCAGCTCTGTCCAGCTCCGGGTTATGTATTAAATCCCTGGTTTTACAAGGTTTGGGCCTGCGACAAGATAAGAGCTCTAGCTAAAACAGTCCGTATTGGGCTAAATAGGTTAAAGAAGCAGGCATTTGGTGATAGTTAGCAATGATGAATGAGAAGGGGATTGCCCTGTCTACATTTACGTCACGTCTGTGTGTGTGTATGAGTGAGTGCGGGACAGCCATGAGGTACCAGTATATGGGAAATGTTAACAAATATTATAATAGTCGGGGGACGATGCTAAATCATGCCAGCTACTGCCTGTAGCGATTATTGTGGATGCGGTCACTACTGGCTTTCATAGACAACTCAAGTTGAACATGAGCCACACATGAAGATTAGATAAACTAACCCTTTAGGACATTCCCCTCTCCTTGGAAGGTGTGGCTAAAGTAGTGCTCAATGACCTCATACTGCAAGTCGACAGTGGGCACATTATCTGGGTGGGTCACGGCCACAGTCAGCAGGATGCCCATCAACAGGTTCACCACCTGGAGAGAGAGAAAGGCATTGTTACACTATGTCCTTGAATACATAGCCTGGTCCTAGATCTGTTTGTACTTTTCGGGTGCCAGCACGCATCTTTCTCATTTCAGTCAGTCATGTGCAAGGTTCTACGTGGTCTAAATAGCGCAACTGGCTAGTTTGGCTGTCAGTAAAGAGAAGGGCTGCATGTCAGTTTCTCACCCGCTGCAAACTGAGGACAAGCTGCAAATTGAGGACACACACACCCCCCTTTGCACACTGCTCCTAATCTGCAGGTTTTTTTGCAGTGAGAATGTGGAGGGAGGTATTTTGCCAACATCTACTTAGGCATATTAAAACACTTCAGTTTTTTACAATCACGAATGTCATCCGATTATCAACTGTCATTTACGGATATGATTACGAGTATGGTCATGTTGGCACACCCCTACTGTTGATACTGATAATATCGAAAGAAAGGGAGCACTGCTCTCAGATTAGCTTTCTCCATTCAAATCTTAGTTTAAAATTACAGTCATTTCACAATACTGACGACGGATCAGCTCCTATTACCACCTACCACTGCAAATATTGAGGCGGCTTATTCGAATGCCTACCCAATAAAAATTCACTAAATCACAGATTCGGCACATAATTGCGCACGTTAGGCTACTCATCATGCAATATATTGAGAAATTACAGACCGTAGCCTACAAGTAGCTAAATAGAAATCGATTGATTGAACATGAAATGTATTTCAATATGATATATTATCTCAGCTCGTTACCTGTATAAAAGACACCTGGGAGCCAGAAATCTTTCTGATTGAGAGGGGGTCAAACACTTATTTCCCTCATTAAAATGCAAATCAATTTATAACATTTTTGACATGCATTTGTCTGGATTTTTTTGTTGTTATTCTGTCTCTCACTGTTCAAATTAACCTACCATTAAAATTATAGACTGATAATTTCTTTGTCAGCAGGGGATCAAATACTTTTTTCCTCTCACTGTACATTGGCAGGATAGAACGGCTGACTCCGGTAAGACAAGGGGTGGCGGTCTGTGCATATTTGTAAACAACAGCTGGTGCACAAAATCAAATACTAAGGAAGTCTCGAGGTTTTGCTCGCCTGAGGTAGAGTATCTTATGATAATCTGTAGACCACACTATTTACCAAGAGAGTTTTCATCTATATTTTTCATAGCTGTCCATTTACCACCACAAACCAATGCTGGCATTAAGATTGCACTGAATGAGCTGTATAAGGCCATAAGTGAACAGGAAAACACTCATCCAGAGGCAGCGCTCCTAGTGGCCGGGGACTTTAATGCAGGGAAACTTAAATCAGTTCTACCAGCATGTTAAATGTGCAACCAGAGGAAAAAAAAAAACTCTAGACGACCTTTACTCCACACACAGAGACGCATACAAAGCTCTTCCTCGCCCTCCATTTGGCAAATCTGACCATAACTCTATCCTCCCGATTCCTGCTTATAAGCAAAAACTAAAGCAGGAAGCACCAGTGACTCGGTTAATAAAAATGTAGTCAGATGACGCAGATGCTAAGCTACAGGACTGTTTTGCTAGCACAGACTGGAACATGTTCCGGGATTCTTCAGATAGCATTGAGGAGTACACCTCATCAGTCACTGGCTTCATCAATAAGTGCATCGATGACGTCGTCCCCACAGTGATCGTACGTACATACACCAACCAGAAGCCTTGGATTACAGGCAACATCCGCACTGAGCTAAAGGGTAGAGCTGCCGCTTTCAAGGAGCGGGACTCTAACCCGGACGCTTATAAGAAATCCCGCTATGCCCTCCGACGAACCATCAAACATGCAAAGAGTCAGTACAGGACTAAGATTGAATCGTACTACACCGGCTCTGACGCTCGTCGGATGTGGCAGGGCTTGAAAACTATTACAGACTACAAAGGGAAGCACAGCCGCGAGCTGCCCAGTGACACAAGACATCCAGACGAGCAAAACCACTTCTATGCTTGCTTCGAGGCAAGCAACACTGAAGCATGCATGAGAGCACCAGCTGTTCCGGATGACTATGTGATCACGCTCTCCATAGCCAATGTGAGTAAGACTTTTAAGCAGGTCAACATTCACAAGGCAGCAGGGCCAGACGGATTACCAGGACGTGTACTCCGAGCATGTGCTGACCAACTGGCAAGTGTCTTCACTGACATTTTCAACATGTCCCTGACTGAGTCTGTAATACCAACATGTTTCAAGCAGACCACCATAGTCCCCGTGCCCAAGGACACTAAGATAACCTGCCTAAATGACTACCGACCCGTAGCACTGACGTCTGTCGCCATGAAGTGCTTTGAAAGGCTGGTCATGGCTCACATCAACACCATTATCCCAGAAACCCTAGACCCACTCCAATTTGCATACCGCCCCAACAGATCCACAGATGATGCAAATCTCTATTGCACTCCACACTGCCCTTTCCCACCTGGACAAGAGGAACACCTACTGAGAATGCTATTCATCGACTACAGCTCAGCATTCAACACCATAGTGCCCTCAAAGCTCATCACTAAGCTAAGGATCCTGGGACTTAACACCTCCCTCTGCAACTGGATCCTGGACTTCCTGACGGGCCGCACCCAGGTGGTAAGGGTAGGTAACAACACATCTGCCACACTGATCCTCAACACGGGGACCCCTCAGGGGTGCGTGCTCAGTCCCCTCCTGTACTCCCTGTTCACTCATGACTGCATGGCCAGGCACGATTCCAACACCATCATTAAGTTTGCCGACGACACAACAGTGGTAGGCCTGATCACCGACAACGATGAGACAGCCTATAGGGAGGAGGTCAGAGACCTGGCCGTGTGGTGCCAGGATAACAACCTCTCCCTCAACGTGACCAAGACAAAGGAGATGATTGTGGACTACAGGAAAAAAAGAGGACTGAGCACGCCCCCATTCTCATCGACGGGGCTGTAGTGGAACAGGTTGAGAGCTTCAAGTTCCTTGGTGTCCACATCACCAACGAACTATCCTGGTCCAAACACACCAAGACAGTCGTGAAGAGGGCACGACAAAGCCTATTCCCCCTCAGGAGACTGAAAAGATTTGGCATGGGTCCTCAGATCCTCAAAATATTATACAGCTGCACCATCGAGAGCATCCTGTCTGGTTGCATCACCGCCTGGTATGGCAACTGTTCGGCCTCCGACCGCAAGGCACTACAGAGGGTAGTGCGTACGGCCCAGTACATCACTGGGGCCAAGCTTCCTGCCATCCAGGACCTCTATACCAGGCGGTGTCAGAGGAAGGCCCTCAAAATTGTCAAAGACTCCAGCCACCCTAGTCATAGACTGTTCTCTCTGCTACCGCACGGCAAGCGGTAGCTGAGTACCAAGTCTACGTCCAAAAGACTTCTCAACAGCTTCTACCCCCAAGCCATAAGACTCCTGAACAGCTAATCATGGCTACCCGAACTATTTGCACTGCCCCCCCACCCCATCTTTTTACGATACTCTGTTAATTATTTATGCATAGTCACTTTAACTCTACCCACATGTACATATTACCTCAACTAGCCGGTGCCCCCGTACATTGACTCTGCACCGGTACCCCCCTGTATATATAGCCTCCCTACTGTTATTATTATTTATTTTTTCTCTCAACACTTTTTTGTTATTTTATTTTACTATTTTTATTAAAAAATAAATGCATTGTTGGTTAAGGGCTGTAAGTAAGCATTTCACTGTAATGTCTACACCTGTTGTATTCGGCGCATGTGGCCAATAACATTTTATTTGATTTGATTTAGAGAGGCCAGCAGATGGCGATATTGACGTTTCATCTTACCATCCAAACGCATTGTATGCAGCCGGCAATACACTCATATCCCCCGTGGACCGGTTTGTACCTAAAACATTCTCCATTTAGGCTGCAAAGGCATCGATTTCCTCTTTAAGTGCATTTAATTGTGAGAAGGCAGGAAAATATGCGTACTTTCTTACGAAACACCATTTCCCACCACCATGCTAGTGGCTAATGCTACTTCCTGATGTTGCGCCCTGCGTTCAGCCAGGGGTAAACAGACTGCTGCAACCTGATTGGCTGATCGCGATGCGCAACATCCGCGACTAGCATTCCTAGGCATTAGCCACCAATGGTCGTGGAAAATGGTGTTTCATAAAGAAAGTATGCATATTTTCCCAGTTTTTTCCCCTGCCTTCTCGCCATTAAATCTAGTTAAGGAGGAAATGTACACCTTTGCAGCCTGAATGGAGAATGTTTTAGGTACGAACCGGTCCACAGGGGATACGAGTGTATTTCTGTCTGCATACAATGCGTTTGGACGGTAAAATGGAAACGACTCAATATCGCCATCTGCAAGCCTTTGGGCTAGTGTGTGCAGCCAACGTGGTCTCCGAGCATTTCGTATTATTCTGTACATAAATACGAGACACTCCATTTAGTATGATATGTAACATTTCGTATTGTATTTGCTAATTTTTGGATGTCCATCATCCGTTTCGTAAGATATGTTAAGAATTGTAATTAGTACAATGTTACGAATTTTCAAATCCTATGATCTATTAGGAATTCCAATTTGTTGTGGTTAACGTTAGCTAGGTGGCTAACGCTAATGTTTGCTAGCACAAGGGGTTAGGGTTAGGGGTTTAGGTTCAGAGTTAGATTAAAGAGTTAGGGGAAGGGTTTGCTAACATTCTTAGTAAGTAGTTGCAAAGTTGCTAATTAGCAAAATTGTCTGTGATGACATTCGAACACACGTTATACGCCCACCCACCCATCCTTCTTTTGTTTTAAGTAACTATACCAAACATAACATTTTATACTAATTTCAGTGTCCCTGATTTACGTTTACTATGTTACATCTAGTCTATGAGACCGGTCTGGTGCAGCAGCATGAATGTTTGACTTCCCTACCTTTATCTCCTAAATGGTCCGTAATGTCCCTTTCTGACCACTTCTTCCATAGGCAAACATGTATGGAAAGTTTTGTTTAAATCAAAAGGGATGCGGTCAAAAAGTGATTGAATTAAAATGGATTTACCCTAACATTACTGTTACCTGACATGCTGGTAACAGTTAGCCAACTTTAGAACATTCAACACCACCCGATGTGCACCGGGGGGAGCTGAACGTCCCTAAGGTAAAGTTGATCACTAGTTAGCTAGCTAGCTATCCGATAACGTTAGTGCTAATATAGCAAATTCCACATATATAACGTTGCCAAAGTAGGGCACGCATCATATATCAAAGTGACTTTCTTGACAAAGATTGTCTTCGGTTTAGCTTTTTGGTAGCTAGCACAATGGCCTTCACTCGACAGTACAGTGGCAACGAGGGGGTACTGCAACATTACCGCAAAGAAGCTAACACTAGCTAGTTAACTTTACCTAGCGCAATCTAAAAAGCCAGGCGAACATGGCATTTGTACGTACCATGTACCATGTGCCGAGAATGATGGTTCCCGTCCTGACATGGCAACAACCACAGCATCTCGTTGTGTAGAGCCTGTGTCGATTCGGTTTAAAATGGTGCATGTCTTCCTGTAAACTAGGGATAAACATCGCTGAAAAAGCTGTGCGACTAAGCCTCCACCATCAACAACCGACACTGATATGAACCGCCCACTTATGTGACAGGCGTGTTGAAAGAAAACACAAACAATTAGCTGTTTTGATTGACAGACAATTTGGCCATTAGTAGAGCTAGGATGATGAACGTCAACCAATCAGCTGCCTCACCACCTGACAAATCCGCAGAACTGTCCCTGTGGCACAATCAGGGGTTGATGATTAGGATGATGGGGAAATTCATTTCCTACAACACCATCATCACTTTCCCTTCTCTTACATCAGTTTCCCTTCTCTAAAAGAAGAAAGCTCTCAAAAAAAGAAACAAAAACTGTTATTCAGAACATTTTTATTGTTCTACCCTTACACTAAACATGGGCCTGCATTTTTCACCTCTGCTTTATGGGGCTTATGCAGTGCTTGACTTCGGCCGGAGTTCACTGGAGCTGAGTATCAGCAGCTCAAATGTTCTACTGTTTGAGCTCCTGTTCCTCTTATAGCATATTAGCTCAAAAGTATTGTAGAGCTCCTGCACCTAAATGTAAACAGTACCGGGACCCAAAATGAGTACCGGCACCTATTCAGTCCAAGTCAAGCACTGGGTTTACGAGTTACATAGAAAGATAATCTGTTATCATGAATAGAATACATAACTAAAGTATATGCATACTGTATTCAGGTCAATGCCTGGGCAATGCAGAAGTCTTCTGGATTGTTTTGCTGTCGTTGTTGTTTTAATACCCCGGCTAATGTTGGAATGATGGATACATGGTAAAACAAAAATGAACTATGTAGACCAAAGACCATGTATGGTATTAGGGTATTACGTGTGACAAATTCAACTGAGATTCAGTCAAAGTATTCTTCCTTTGAGCTGTAGATGGAAGGAGAGTACTAGTGAGACAGTAGGTTTGACTAACTCTGAAGTCAGACGTGGCAATGTGTTATGCAGGTTGATGTTTATTGTCATGAGTCTTTTCCTGGAGGCAGAACTGAGCGATTTCCCCTTTGGCTAGCTGCAAAGTCAAAACTGGCTATATTGTAAAAAATTAATGAAATAGCTTTTTAGTCTTCATTTAAGGTTAGGGTTAGGCATTAGGGTTAGCAATGTGGTTACATTTCGGGTTAAGGTTAGGTTTAAAATTCGATTTTATGACTTTGTGGCTTTGCCAGCTAACGACCACGCTGCAGAGCTGTCTCAACAACAAGATTAATGAGGAAAAACGCTAACCTGTATGTGTTATCCAGGCAATTCAATTATGTATTTAATCATTTAACACTTGTGTGTGAGTGCATGAAGGTTTAAACTAAACAATGGTTACGATTCATATTACAATATCCCCACTCACATACAGTGCATTCGGAAAGTTTTCAGACCCCTTGACTTTTTCCACATTTTGTTACGTTACAGTCTTATTCTAAAATGGATAAAATAATTGTTTCCCCTCATCAATCTACACACAATACCACATAATGACATGGCGAAAACAGGTTTTTAGACCAAAAAACAACAACACTGAAATACCTTATTTACATAAGTATTCAGACCCTTGGCTATGAGACTCGAAATTGAGCTCAGGTGCATCCTGTTTCCATTGATCATCCTTGAGATGTTTCTACAACTTGATTGGAGTCCACCTGTGGTAAATTCAATTGATTGTACATGATTTGGACAGGCACATACCTGTCTATATTAGGTCTGACAGTTGACAGTTGACAGTGCATGTCAGAGCAAAAACCAAGCAATGAGGTCGAAGGAATTGTCTGTAGAGCTCTGAGACAGGATTGTGTCGAAGCACAGGGGAAGGGTACCAAAACATTTCTGCAGCATTGAAGGTCCCCAAGAACACAGAGGCCTCCATCATTCTTAAATGGAAGAAGTTTGAAACCACCAAGACTCTTCCTAGAGCTGGCCGCCCAGCCAAACTGAGCAATTGGGGTAGAAGGGCGTTGGTCAGGGAGGTGACCAAGAACCCAATGGTCACTCTGAGGAGATGAGAGAACCTTCCAGAAGGACAATCATCTCTGCAGCACTCCACCAATCAGGTCTTTCTGGTAGAGTGGACAGATGGAAGCCACTCCTCAGTAAAAGGCACATGACAAAACGCACCTAAAGACTCTCAGACCATGAGAAACAAGATTCTCTGGTCTGATGAATCCAAGATTCCACTCTTTGGCCTGAATGCCAAGCCTCATGTCTGTAGGAAACATGGCACCATCCCTACGGTGAAGCATGGTGGTGGCAGCATCATGCTGTGGTGATGTTTTTCAGAGGCAGGGACGGGAGACTAGTCAGGATCGAGGGAAAGATGAACGGAGCAAAGTACAGAGAGATCCTTGATAAAAACCTGCTCCAGAGCGCTCAGGACCTCAGACTGGGGCGAAGGATCACCTTCCAACAGGACAACGACCCTAAGCACACAGCCAGGACAACGCAGGAGTGGCTTCGGGACAAGTCTCTGAATGTCCTTGAGTGGCCCAGCCAGGGCCCAGACTTCGAACATCTCTGGGGAGAGCTGAAAATAGCTGTGCAGCGACCCTCCCCATCCAACCTGACAGAGCTTGAGAGGATCTGCAGAGAAGAATGGTAGAAACTCCCCCAATACAAGTGTGCCAAGGTTGTAGCGTCATACCCAAGAAGACTCGAGGCTTTAAGGTGCTTCAACAAAGTACATGGTAAAGGGTCTGAATACTTACGTAAATGTATTATTTCAGTTTTTTATTTGTAATACATTTTCTAAAAAACCGTTTTTGCTTTGTCATTATGGGGTATTGTGTGTCGATTGATGAGGGAAAAAAACTATTTTATCCATTTTAGAATAAGGCTGTAATGTAACAAAATGTGGAAAAAGTCAAGGGGTCTGAATACTTTCTGAATGCACTGTAGATCTGAATAGAGATCAACTTTCTACAGTTTCTCTATGAGCATATAACAATATGTAATAAATGTGTGTTTGCAAGATAACATAATAGAATCTGGTTCAGAAATGTAGTAATACAGTTCTTTATGACCTCAGTGATTCAAGACTGTGTATTGACAGTGATCAGAGTCAGAGAGATATGGCTATTATATGGCTCTGCTTCATAATAAGGTGTTTCTCATGTTGCAACACAAGCAGTGTATTGTGTGAGGGAGGTCACTCTTCATTTCCGCTCATTAAGCAATAATAATGAGCGATGGGACATAAGACATCAAATGACTACAAGGTACACTTTAGACTACCGGCCACACTAAATTAATTACATTCAACACAGTTGTACATTTCGTCAAAGTGTGTGTAATATCCAAAGTGCACACATTTTACAGATCATAATATAATAAAAATGCCCTTGTAATTACAGTGGGGGAAAAAAGTATTTAGTCAGCCACCAATTGTGCAAGTTCTCCCACTTAAAAAGATGAGAGAGGCCTGTAATTTTCATCATAGGTACACGTCAACTATGACAGATCTGGGGCTCCACGCAAGATCTCACCCCATGGGGTCAAAATGATCACAAGAACGGTGAGCAAAAATCCCAGAACCACACGGGGGGACCTAGTGAATGACCTGCAGAGAGCTGGGACCAAAGTAACAAAGCCTACCATCAGTAACACACTACGCCGCCAGGGACTCAAATCCTGCAGTGCCAGACGTGTGCCCCTGCTTAAGCCAGTACATGTCCACAGGCCCGTCTGAAGTTTGCTAGAGTGCATTTGGATGATGAGGATTGGGAGAATGTCATATGGTCAGATGAAACCAAAATAGAACTTTTTGGTAAAAACTCAACTTGTCGTGTTTGGTGGACAAAGAATGCTGAGTTGCATCCAAAGAACACCATACCTACTGTGAAGCATGGGGGTAGAAACATCATGCTTTGGGGCTGTTTTTCTGCAAAGGGACCAGGACGACTGATCCGTGTAAAGGAAAGAATGAATGGGGCCATGTATCGTGAGATTTTGAGTGAAAACCTCCTTCCATCAGCAAGGGCATTGAAGATGAAACGTGGCTGGGTCTTTCAGCATGACAATGATCCCAAACACACCGCCCGGGCAACGAAGGAGTGGCTTCGTAAGAAGCATTTCAAGGTCCTGGAGTGGCCTAGCCAGTCTCCAGATCTCAACCCCATAGAAAATCTTTGGAGGGAGTTGAAAGTCCGTGTTGCCCAGCGACAGCCCCAAAACATCACTGCTCTAGAGAAGATCTGCATGGAGGAATGGGCCAAAATACCAGCAACAGTGTGTGAAAACCTTGTGAAGACTTACAGAAAACGTTTGACCTGTGTCATTGCCAACAAAAGGTATATAACAAAGTATTGAGAAACTTTTGTTATTGACCAAATACTTATTTTCCACCATAATTTGCAAATAAATTCATTAAAAATCCTACAATGTGATTTTCTGGATTTTATTCTCTCATTTTGTCTGTCATAGTTGACGTGTACCTATGATGAAAATTACAGGCCTCTCTCATCTTTTTAAGTGGGAGAACTTGCACAATTGGTGGCTGACTAAATACTTTTTTCCCCCACTGTATATATACAGTACATTTATGGTTACAAAAGATCGGGAGTCGGTCAAAAAGTTACAATCATCTCTAATAAATAGAAACATTTCTGTTAGGAAACTACACATGACAAAATAAATGAAAGGATAACAATCACTACATCTATCGTTTTTTTAGAGACAAAAAGCATACTAGCCCTTTCACTTCGTCATGTACCTGAGCTACACACACCTTGATTGAGAATTTCTGGAGGAATAGAAACTCAAGAATCATGACACTGTTGTTTTGATTAATGTTGTTGTTTTTATTCTACCTGGCGGCAAGTAGCTTAGTGGTTAAGAGCGTTGTGCCAGTAACCGAAAGGTCGCTGGTTCTAATCCCCGAGCCGACTAGGTGAAAAATCTGTCGATGTGCCCTTGAGCAAGGCACTTAACCCTAATTGCTCCTGTAAGTCGCTCTGGATAAGAGCGTCTGCTAAATGACATAAATGTAATTATATTAAATAGTGTGTGTTCGTGTTCACAGGTCTCAATGGTGACCCACCCTTTATACATTAAAAGTTTAAAAAACAAAAACAAGTCTCTTAA